TTGACAAACCAAACTAAATTTATTGAGGGTCCCCTAATAACAATGATGACTTAAGGGACCTTCTATAAACATAACATCACACCCACACAGCTTTAGATTCTAATGTAGCCTAATTCGCAAAAAGAATTCACACTTAGTCAGCAGTTTATCAAGGTTAGTACTCACAAGATAAACACAAATCCTGGCCTTGTTTTGTTTTATTATATTACCTCTTCATATAGAAACGTATTAACTCCTTCTGCCATCAAACGCCAACTTCTTTTGAAGAGTGGTTGACATAACTGTTCTTGAAGGAAGTAGAGGTTGTCCTTTATAAAAAGGAGCATCTCGCAGGCAGAACATGTTACTGACTGACCCGCTAAATCTTTGGTTGAAGGAAGTGAAAACCATCTGAAAACATAGTATATACACCAAGCAACACATTATTTATTGCTTCTTATTAATATCGCAATTATGAGATGTTCACCTGGGTTAAATAAGAAATAAATAAAAGAATTATTTTGAAAACAAACTAGAGCATTATTGCATTTTCAAAAATATACAGTACTGATGTATCCATGTCATAAACAAATACATAAAACTTTAGAATACTATTGTAAGCATAAGACAAAACTGCTTACTTTTCCTTCAAGTATAGTTTAGCTTTTGAGTTGAGCTGGTTCAAGATGCATGAGTTGACCTTTGTACACATATCTTGTTGCATGTGTTTGTACAATTCTAAAATATCATCAAAGACAGTTCTTTGCATGGCATCTAAATTCTCGCCTTCAAGACCTTTTGATAAAAGATTGATGTTGATATTGGCACCAGTGCTTTCTAACGCTTCATTGAAGGCAGCCATGTTCTCATCTTCATTATGATGATATTGTAACTCTAGAAAAAACTAAAAACAAAAACAAACCCATTTGTTAATGGTATACAATTCAAGTTTATTACAAGGGGAAAAAATAAGTTCTATGACCATGACCCAAAAGTTAATCATCTCCTTCTTATTAATATAGTCTTATAGTATTTTTTTATGCTCGAGAATTAAGTTCAAAAGGAAACTTAGGCATTTATCGGTTTATCCAGGTAAGTATTCACAAAATATTCACTCCTTAGTTTTGGTGTAATCTTCCTGACAGACAGACAGACAGAGGGGGTAATTCATAACCCTCCTTGGCAGAGGTAATAATAATTGGTGGAGGCAGCTACTCAGAAAAGTCTCAAGAAGCCCGCACCCTTCCCACACGCAACTATGATTACACTATTCATTAATAAGTGATAAATATAATAATAAAATAGAAAAGTATACATATATTTATGAGGAACTGCATATATGAGGAACTGCATAGATTTATTCTTTCAGTGAGCACACAATAGACATGGACAAGATGTTTATACAATAATTTTGTTTATGAACTATTAACACTAATTTAGTAATCACATCTGCTAATTTACATAATTGATTCATAATCAGTGGATTTTAAAGTTACCAATTGATCTGACCATTCTTCCAGTACTCTTATAACATAATTCACCGAGTTGATTATTGCACAGTAGACAGTGCTGAGTGGATTGCGGGCCTCCTGTTTAGCAACTTGAAGTAATCGTACACGAAAGTCATCCAACAGGTCAAGTTGAAGACCAAGAAACTGGAGTTGATTGCTAGGATAGGGGATGGTCTTGTACCGGTCTGCAAGTAAATACAAGAAACTGGAGTTGATTACTGGAATAAAGAATGGTCTTGTAATGGTCTGCAAGTAAACAAGAAACTGGAGTTGATACTGCAATAAAGAATGGTCTTGTAATGGTCTACAAGTAAACAAGAAACTGGCATTTATTACTGGAATAAAGAATGGTCTTG